TAGATTGAAAATGACCAATTTATTATTGTTTTTGGATATCGAGGGATTATTATTAGGCTCTGTCTAATAATTATTATTATCAAGATCTGGGCTCATTCCTCAGGACATCTGGACGTACAGCTCAGTGGTTAGAGCACTCGCCTCGCAAGAAGGAGACATCGGTTCGATTCTTATTCGGGCAAAATTTTTCGGCACTTATCCTTACTCAACACGGTTTGGTTTAACATTGCAGTGAATAGTAACCCGGTTGCTACTCAGATGGCTGATAGATTTCACTGGTAATATTTCCTTAAAAAAGGGCTAAGTAAGTCATTCAAGCCACAATATTTGTGGGCGACGTATGTCGTAATTATCTGCCGCACTGTCCCACAACTTATGCAGTCAATTAACTTTACAGTATACTCCATGAAGCGCTTTAAGACGTCTCAATGACGAGATAAGGCGGTATATGGGTTATTGTTATTTTTACCTTTGTCTGCTTCAGTCTTTGTAACTCGCTCCCTCTACACTGTCTCTTTCACACATTACTGTGGTTTGCCACTGCGAGGCGGAGGGAATCTGAACATAAAAGAGGAGTCGCAATACATCTCCAGCAATGAACAGAGACAGAGTAATGACGCGGGGATAAGAGTCAACGTCTCAAGTGAACCAACGTTTATCCACAAGTCGCTGACTTTAGATGATTTCTGGTTGCAATTCATCAGGTTATATTGACGTGAATCGAAGAGAGTCGAGAATGAAGCAGAATTTCAGCGCAACGTATATTATTTTGAATTTAACAATAAAGCTTTGGTGTAAGTAGTGTATGAATTTGTATAAAAAAATTCTTTTTTACCTGCAAAATAATTACAGTTTATCGCGGCCAGACACTATCTTAATTCCTTTGCGAGTATGTTCATTTCTGCTTTCTTTCCAGGTGCCTTGGCTGAAAGTGATGTTTCACAGTCACCTCAGGCCGTGACAGGGAATGAAAATGGAAACGTATCTATGGAGTGCAACACCACTGTGTCCGGCCCAACCTTTCATTGGTACACACAGTATGGAAACGGCTCCATCCGGTTCTTGGTTTTGGGAACAAGAGACATCAGTGAGAATGACAGGATAAGCGCTTTGGCTAATACAAGACAGAGAAACTGCACTCTAATAATCCAACACCTGCGAGTGTCAGACACCGCGACTTACTTCTGTGCGGCGAGCACAGTGCTCCGTGTCTAAGAGGGACCTGTACAAAAACATTCTATGTTTACTGTCGCTCAATGTTCAGAGCATTCGCCTCGCAAGCGAAGTAAATGGGTTCGATTCCCGGCAGGACAAAACGTTGGGAAAGTTTCCTTACTCCTCACGACTCTGTATATCCCTCAGTAAGTAGGATCTTGGCTGTTAGTCGATTAGCGGATCGCTTTTCCTGGAGCAACAATACCTTAACAAAATAAAAAAAAAACGGTTACCGATCATATCACTGTCAGTGTGACACCGTTGTGCGACATTGACGTAAGAGTTAAATCCACAAAACAAACAATTTCGGCCGTAATAAAAACAGTCACTGCAGTTTAAGTTATTACCGTGAAACGCTTTGAGTCGTCTAGAAGAAGTGATATGACGAAATATCAATAGGAAAGCTTATGATTATAAGGCACAGTTTTTACGCGGATACTCAAAATCAGGGAGATGGTTTTCCTCGTGTGCCAGACACACATTGTAGGAAAATAAATGTTAAAATAAAGAGCCGCTTTCAGCGAAATAAACAGTACAAAACCATAGCTGTGAATTGGACGAGTAAATGTATGTTTTGTACCCAAACTGCTGTAACCCATAAGCCAAGAGCGGAAAGGGGCATGAAGGACACTTGCAATTAAATGGGGCAGAGGCACATGGCTCCATCGCTTTCGCTTTGAACCCTCGTAATGGCTCGTTTCACCTCGTTATTAAATCGACACCCGGGGATGTGAAGCCAACACACATTAGTTCTATATCGAGGCATCTGCACACACTCAGGTCCACTGAATCCGTCGTCCTAACTTAGTTTGACTGTCTGTATCATAGCAAACCTTAACGTTTGGAACAGCGCCTTGTGTCGTCTCTGCGGTGTCGCATTGCGCTTCCTATCGTTTACTGTAATTTGTAGTGTTAAGTATGACTGTGCATTTTGAATAAGAAACGAGAATATTATCCGCAGAAAGGAAGCCGATAATCGACTAAGAACCTGGTTATTATTTACAGCAAGGTAAACAGGTGTGTTTAGGGAGTAACGAAAGATGGCCAACATTTCGCCTTGCCGTGAATTGAAGCAACATCTCCCGCTTATGTTGCAAGAGCAATAAGCATTGAGCTACAGGAGTCCACAGATGGCAAACATTTGTGGACTCATGTATGTGTTTTCGATTAACTTAAACATGGTTATAACTTGCTACAGGTGTCAGACACTCAGCTGAACTAAGACACATCAGTGATGGATGAGAACCAATGGAGCAAAGAGACGGGAGAGCAGAGAGGATGACGCAAAGTGACAGAGACACAAGGTTTGTACATAACCCTCAGACCTGCTCCATCACTGTATATGCCAACTTCTGTATGTTGTTTCCTGTCCGGCTCTCCTCACGGTATCTTACAGCCTCCCAGGAAACATTCTCCAATTTGCACCATCAACGCTCTCTCAACGCCACTTGCCATTAAACACATCCGACAATGTGTATCTATGTGGCAGCAGTGATCATTACCTTATCAGGTAAGCGATAAACTCTCTCGTTCAGTCTGTTCCCTGCAAATAAAATCCAATGCTTATGTTTTATTGCATACAATAACCAGTATGCGACAGGGCTTTAGCGGTCGACTGGCGGCACAGGTTAAAACCTTCGGCAAGTATCCTTACTCCACACACAAGCCGGTGTTGTCCTGTCAGTACGTGGGCTTCCGATTATAAGTCGATCCGCAGATGCTTTTTGTGGTGTGATAATCCCTTAAAAAGTATTACCTTTGATAATATGTGCTCGCCATCCAGAACTCGTTAGCGGTTACTTCTGTGCGCATACGATGCGGCGCTTTGCCCAGAAAATACACTTAATGTGAATCACATGAAGCGCTTGGACATCTCCAAGCTGCGGTAAGTGGCTATATGAATTGAAAGCTTTATCAACGTGATTATAATTATGAATGTTGTTGCATTGTGTCTGTTTCCCAGGATATTGTGGAGGTGATTCGGTGACACAGCTCGAATCTGCTTTAACAGTGAATGAAGGGCAGGATGTTGCTCTGCAGTGTAATTACACAACTACAAGCAACACTCCCAATCTGTTCTGGTACCGTCACTATCCTAACAAAGCTCCAGAATATATCCTTTGGACATACGGCAGGGGCCAACCGCAACATGCAGACTTTGCAAAAGAACGTTTCTCAACGAAACTGGATGAAAGTCGTAGAACCGTCCCATTAAATATATCCCAAGTGAGAGTTACAGACTCCGCGGCGTATTACTGTGCACTGAGCCCCACAGAGGCACAGATCAGCGATTCCGCCCTACAAAAACTGCCACGTGGAGTCCTGTAGCTCAGTAGTTATAGCACTCGTCTCACAAGCATCAAGCAAGCGGGATACGTGTGTTCGATTCACGGGAAAGCGCTTTGAGGCGTTTCGACGATGTGGTTTGGCACTATAATAAATGCAACGATTATTATTATTAAATATGATCATGTTATTTTCACAGAAATAGCTTCATACATTTTGCACTCTGGGGAGACCTGCACTGGAAGTGTCCTTCTCTGCTATTTCAACAAGAAGGAAACAATAAGAAACATTAACTTGCATCTACGTAGCGACATTCATAGGGGGAATGTTAAGACGGGCCGAAAATAATTTGCAATCAACTGTCTCCAAATGTACACATGCTGTAGCTGCATTCCACCAGCAGATGTAACACGAAAAATAATATAACATGAGCTGCGACTGACATACCTTGTCACGTTCCTTTATGTAACTGACAGGTGCTTCCTGTTGCAGTTGACATAGTTTCCTGACATACATGTTGCTGCTTCAGCTGACGTGTAAAAACCTTGTGTAAAACATGATTGGCACAAAATTTAGATTACTCAAAGAACAGTGTTTGTGTCACATTTTAGATGTGTTGTCTTTCTCTACCAGAAGCATTCTCCCTCATGTGGATCTCACTGAGATAAAAAATGTGATAAATCTTGTTATGAGTAATATGGTCATTTATGTTTGTTTAATTTGAAAACGAGATTACAACTGACCTCGTTTAACTTAAATTAAGAATTGAAACGCAATCTCTGATACACTGGGAGCTCAAACTGTCGATCTGGGTCCAGAACCAATAACATTCAGACACATAGGAGAAAGTACCAATAACAGATGCCGGTTTTCAACTCAGCCTTGATAGAAAGTAAACCTTTTTTAAAGCTAGGCTGCATTGTTCAAGATCAACCAAATGAATGCATTCAGAACAGTATTGAAAATAAAAATGCTCATTTGATATACATCCATACTGCCTCTCGAAGGCGTCCTGAAGCGCTTCACAAATGCACAGTAAAGCAAATTGTTATTGGGTGAAACGCACTCCTCGCAACCTCGCCCAGACCCACTGGCCTCCAATCCGCGGCAGATCAAGTTCAAGATCCTCATTAGAGAAAGTAACATGAAAAGCGGAAAAGTTGTTACCTCAGCCTTGATGACAGAAACTGAACCTTATTCCTTTCGGCTCTGCTGCATGGCTCAACGATTCACTTCAAATCGGTTCACTCATTAAACAATAAAATGAATTGTTGTTGTGTGATACGTGCGGCAATATTCCCATACCAACCCAGACCCATTCGCTTCAAATCGAGAGAAGATCGAGTTCAAGATCCTCTGGTTAGTGGGAAACGCCTACAATTGGAGACAGTAAACCACTGAACCCGTCAGATCAGCCGCTTCCTCACAACTTGTCACTGAAGCAGCAACACAGCGATATACAAAGGAAGAGATCCCATTATCTGTCCACACCTCAGCAGCCAACATGACAGCTCTCTGCCAGTTACTGATAGCAATCCTCACCATAGCCAGTAAGTATGTGTGGACATGCACAGCGCATGATTTTTACATCATAAACTTTCCAAAGCATAATGTTCAGAGAGGTCGCCTCACCAGCGAGAGAACCCGAGTTTGATTGCAGGGCAATGAAACCTTTCAATGCGTTTGCTTACACCTCACCAATCTGTTTCCACAGCGTTAAGTAGGAAACATGTTGACAGTCGATTCCCCGATCGTTATCTGAGGTCAATAACCCATTATCGTATAAATCAATTGACAATAATATCGGCGAAATACTGCGGTGTTCAATTGTCTGCTCAGTTTCGCCAAAAATATAATCAATTCGCTTTGCAATATATTCTGTGGTTTCTTTGAGACTGATGTACTGTGCGGTAACGTGCTCTATAAAGTGGATAAAAGCAAATTATAAGTTGCTCAGAAAAATGTGTTGCTCTTGTTCTTGCAGAAGTTAGCGGGCAAGATGTTATAACCCAATATCCTCGCGAGAAAACAGAAATTGAAGGGCAAGACGTGGCACTAAACTGCAATATTTCAAGATTGGATACTGTCTTCTGGTACAGGCAAAACCCCGGCGGAGCTCTTCAATACGCGCTCAGGATATTTACCTCTGGAACGGTAAACAAATCTCCTGATCTACCTGAACGTTTCACTGCTGAGCTGATCAAGAAGAATAAAGTAATTAAGCTGCAGATACTCGGGGCTGTTGTGGGTGACAGCGCTGTGTATTACTGTGCCCTGGACCCCACACTGTTACAGGAAGGCACATACCCCGTACAAAAACTCAGCAGAAAGTCATGACTTCCGCTCACACATTTAATTTGGTGCTTTCAACAAACTGATGTGGTTATACAGTATTAACAAGGAGAGTGGTGTAAACAGGCTGTGCTGTCTTGTTGTGTATGGGATTAAGCAGTCGTTTTGCAAGCTGGGGGAACCGGTTTCTTTGGAAAAAAACGCTTTTTCCTGCCAGCAGACAGCGGTTGAACATAACAACAAAAGAGAACTAATGCACCAGAATGTAGCCCAAAATAGATATACCTCACCAAGTCTTGTCTCTTGCCTGTCAGCACCTCGTAATCTGTTAAATTAAGCAAACACTATGCGTTCCTCCAGGGAGAAAGAGAAAATTCGTTTCCATAGGCACATTTACACGCGAAGATGGCATATATATGTGGAACTGATGTATGTGTTTTCGTGAACTGGAATATGGGTGTAACTTGGTGCAGACACACTGCTCAACAAAGACATGTCACTGATGGAAGAGAACCATTGGATGAGTGAGATGGCAGAGCAGAGAAGGTGACGCACAATGACAGAGACACAAGGTTTGTACATAACCTTCAGACCTGCTCCCTCACAGTATATGACAACTTCTGTATGTTTTTTCCTGTTTAGCTCTCCTCACGGTATCTTACAGCCTCCCAGCCAACTTTCTCCAACTACACCATCAACGCTCTCACAACGTCCCGTGACATTAATACATATGACAATGTATGTCTATGTGGTAGCAGTGATCATTACCTTGTCAGGTAAGCGACAAACTCGCTCTATTAGTCTGCTTCATGTGCATATTATCCAATGAATATATATTTTTGCATTACATAACCAATACGGTACACGACTCATGCATTCCTGCAGCAAACGTGTTGACTTGGGTTTAGTTCCCGGCTTGGACATAGCGAAACCTCAGGCAAGTTTCCTTCCTCCACACACGCACCACTTTTTACATCGAGATATGTAGGTACCCGTTCGATTGTCGATCGTCGGATCAGGTTTAGGTGTTAATAATCGCTTAACGGGAACCAGTGATAATAATTCTATCAGTCATTCCATGACTTTTTATTAGGAAAATGCTGTGCGCAATTTGTTGCCACGTGTCGCCCACACAATACACATTCTCAGAATATTCTATTAAGCATTTGGAGACGCATTGATGTAGTATGGCGCTGTATGAAAAGCAATAATTTGTACTGGGATTATTGTTATGGTATTGAACGCTGATATGGGTCTGGTTCCCAGGACATTGTGGAGGAGACGCTGTAACACAGCTCCAATCTACTGTGACAGTGACTGAAGGGGAGGATGTTTACCTGCAGTGCAATTATACAGCTACAAGCGAATACAATACCTATCTGTTCTGGTACCGTCACTTTCCCAACAAACCTCCAGAATATATCCTTAGCACAGACACCAACAACAGGATCAAGAACGGCGCGGACTTTGCAGAAGAACGTTTCTCAACGAATGTGTCTAAAGCGGAGAGAACCGTCCCATTAAATATATTGCAAGTGAGAGTTACAGACTCCGCGGGGTATTACTGTGCACTGAGCCCCACAGAGGCACAGATCAGCGGTTCCGCCCTACAAAAACTGCCATGTGGGGTCCTGTGGCTCAGTGGTTACAGCACTTGCCTCACAAGCGATAGACGTTGGTTCAATGACCTGCAGAACGAATCATTGCGCAACTTTCCTTATTCCACACACTAGTCTCTGGTTACCAGCAGTAAATAGGAAGCAGGTTGTTAATCGGTTGGAGTATCGATTTTTCAGAGGCAATAATTCCTTCTGAATAATAGTGTTAATAATAAATTGGTCACTTCATCCAATGAGTCACCGATAATTACAATTTGCTGCCGTGCTTCGCCCACACAGCCACTGCCACGCTACGTCACTCAATCACTGCCCACACAGCCACTGCCACGCTACGTCACTCAATCACTGCCCTCACAATATGCAGTCAATTCGTTTACTGTATATTGAATGAAGCACTGAGTGGCGTCTCGAAGATGCGATATGGCGCTATATCAAATGCAACTATTATTATTAATGTTATTAACTATAGTCATGTTATCATCAAAGTGGTAACTAAAAATGTCTTGCTTTCTGGGGAGCGCTGCCACATGTACGATTCTTTCTATGCTGCATTAGTAAGTAAGTAAACATCAAAACAAACAATTTCCGTTTAAATTGCTTAAACAAAAACTATCTGTAGAGAAACTGTTTCTTCTGGTGGTTGGGGGAATGCAGAATAAGGGTGCATTAGAGCCAGTCCAGTTAGCAGAGAAATTGGGGGAAAAAAATTAGGAAAAATTTAAGGAAATCTGGAAAACTTCCACAAATATTCTGGAAATCTTGGTTCCATTCACATTTTCCAGACTGAGTTGGATACATTTATTTTAGCTCAGAATATCAAGGGTTACGAAGAAAAGGTTAGAATATGTGTTGAGAGATAAATCAGCCATAATGTAATATAACGTTGGAACAAACTCAAGGACCTGATGGTCTGCTCCTATTCCTATTTAGCGCTTTCCACGTATGGGAGCGTTCTTGGCGAGTCACTGAAGAAACGAAACAATTTAGTGTATTGAAGTTAAAGAAGAATGTACATTAAATTTCATTTAAAGACTAGTGAGCACATTTGCATTGCGACGTCCTCCTGACGTGAACCGACTTGAATAAATATCAATATGTTATCACTCTGGTGCAAAATGCTCCAAGTCAGCTAATTGTTCAGTCAAATGATATAATCGATGAAATAATAAGACAAGGAAATGAATAGAAATGGAGGAGCAAGTGGCGCAGCAAGTGTTAGCAGAGAGACACGTCAATGTAAAAGAATGTGAATGACACCGAATATCCGAATGTTCCAGAGAGGAAGATAAAATATGGGGAACGAGCAGGGAAATTAGACTAATGCATAAACTTCCTATGGAGAAGATAGCACCAAGGAAAGGCAAAACGGGCCCAAAATAATTATGCTTTGAAACCTCTCCAATTGTGTACGTGTTGTAGCTGCAATCCACCAGCAGATGGCGCACTAAACAAACACAAATAACATGAGCTGCAACTCACATAACACGTCACGCTCCTTTCTGTAACTACCTTCCTTTGCAGCAGTAACAGGTGCTTCCTGTTGCAGTTGACATATTTCACTCATACACACTATTGCTGCTTCAACAGAAATTTACAAATATTTGCCTAAAGTATTAACATAAGGCCTAGGTTGCTCATGAAACAATTTCTATCTCACCTATTTTATATTATTGCCTTTATTCTCGATTAGCAGCCGCTCTTAAATTGTTTTCTCTGCGGTACAGCAATTCTCTGTTGACATTTGTTACAGTATCGGCTTCTGCCACACTTTCAGTCAATGCATTCAAGATCAGAACAACTGGCAGTGTGAAAAAAAAATCTGCTCCTCACAGTTTGTTCAGGCAACTACATTAAACGTGAACATTAAGCTATTTATTACGTTTATTACTGTATAATTATAAAAGATCATTGATATGTCATCCCGCAACTGAAACATTCAAAAGCGACCGAAGTGCTCACTGTGAAATTCAGATTGGATTGTGTTCTGCTGTTCTGGTCTGACACTCTAGAGCAGGCCTGGCTGTCTGGACTGTGGGTGAAGCTTGTCCTACCGAGGAGATATTAAACCCAGGTCCAGGCGTCTTGCATGAAGGGACTTTTGTGTTTCCATTGTAATGCTCGAGAAAGAACAAGTTTTCCACAGGTGTCTGGACAAACTTTCCATCGGTTAAATTCATCTTTCATTCATAGCTGTTTGTGGGAAAGTGTTGTATACAAATTGGAGGCCAACTTGTTTGAGGAGGTCTGAGGCGTATCGACTAAATGACAAGGCTTCGTTGGCTAAAAGCATTTCTGAAACACGAATACTAAAAACATTTGTAAGGGCATGTCTCATTCAACATTGTAATAATAACGATAATAAAAGCAAACGATGCATTTGATACACTGCCATATTAGGTCATTGAGACGTCTTAAAGCTCTTCATAGAATATCCTGAAAAGTGGATTGACTCTTGTTTTATGCCAATTGCGTGTGTGGGAGATTGTGGGGGGTGGCGTGGAAGTGGGGGGTGGCTTTGTGCGTTAGAATGTATTGTGTGGGCCCAACGTGGTAGCCAACTGTTTAAAACAGTGGCCCACAAAATGTTGTGGATTGAGTGACCTGATTTTGTGGCACTGTGTGTGTTTGTGTGGGGGAGGGGAGGGGGCGGGGCGCTGTGTGGGCGGAGCTCTGTAAAGCAACGACAGTGATTGGGCGATGCGGCTCAGTGCGGGCGGAGCAGTGACTGAGTGACGCAGCTCTGTGGGCGTGGCAGTGGCCGTGTGGGCGAGGCTCTGTGTGGGCGAGGATGTAACTGTGTGGCTACTGAGCCCAAAAGCCCCATCAATCCACATTGGGGAGTTAATGTCGGACACGGGATCAGGTGCTCATGTGGGAGACATGTGCTGTGCTCTTAATCACTCTCAGCTTACTTTGCCGTTAGTAACATTTTTATATATTTTTTTCTTAACATCTTGTTATACCTTTTACAACAATATAACATTAAAAATCCTTTGATTAGATATTGGGCCTTTCCATATATTCGAGACGATTGTCAGCGTCAGTTTTGATCAAATAATCTAATCGATTGAGTGTCCAAATTATTATCTATTTTATTATTGATTTATTAGTGAAGGGCCAATTATCCCTGGAAAAAAGCGATGCCAATCAGGTTTCTGATTCACCGTTCCTGCAAGTCGCCGACTTATTATAATCTTTGCCCAGGACTTCTGGGTCCAATATCTCAGGGTTTAGAGCACTCGCCTCGCATGCAGGAGATATGATTTCGATTCTCGACTGTGCGAAATGTTGGGTAGTTTTCCTTACTCCACTCCTCTATTTACCTCGTAGATTTGTAGGAAAACGCTCAATAGTCGATTGGCGGATCGCTTTTATAATTCTTTCAAAAAAAAATGGAGTAAATTGGTTATTCAATCCACGACTCTTTGTGCGATACTGTTGTTCCCAATTGGCTGCCGCGCTTCTCTCTAAAAGTACACTGTCAATTAATTTTACAGTGTATTCCGTGAAACAATTCGAGAAGTATCCTAGACGTGGTGAGGCGCTTCATCAAGTGCAAGGATTATTTTTATTTCACTCGGCTGAACAAAAACATGTCAGTGATGGAAGAGAACCATTGGAGGAGCGAGATGGCAGAGCAGATGATATGACGCACAATGACAGGGACACACAGTTTGTACATAACACTAAGACCTGCTCCATCACAGTATAATGTAACATCTGCATGTTGTTTCCTGTTCAGCCCTCCTCACGGTATCTTACAGCCTCCCTGGAAACATTCTCCAACTGCGCCATCAACGCTCTCTGAACATCCCGTGTCACTAAGTACAAATGACAATGTACATCTATGTGGCAGTCGCCATCATTACCTGTGCGCAATTGGCTGCCGCGTTCGCCCACAAATATACAGTCAATTCACTTTACAGTGTGTTCTGTGAAGCGCTTTGGGACGTCCTCCCGACGTGAAAAGCGCTATATCAAATGCAAGAATTATTATTATTATTATTATTATTATTATTATTATTGTCAGGCAAGCGATCAACTCATTCTCTATATATCCTTCCCGCACATATTATCCAACGTGTTTGTTATACTGCGTTAAATAATCAGAACGGTACAGGATTCGTGGTGTCGTGGAGTCCTGCAGCTCAGTTGTTATAGCACTCCGGCTATATGTGAATTTGCGAATGTGAATTTGGATTTTCCAAGTATAATAATTTATTTATAATTAAATCACTAAAGCCACGACTGTGTGTGAATTACTCCATGATTGCCTGCTGCATTTCGCCCAGAAAATACACTTAAATTGTTTTCTGTGAGGACATTTGAGATGTTTCAAAGGCATTATAAGTCGCTGTATCAAATTCAACGACTATTAATATTATTATTATTGCATTCAACTCTGCTGTTTGTATGGTTTCTAGGACATTGTGGAGGAGACGCTGTGACACAGCTCCAATCTACTGTGAAAGTGAATGAAGGGGAGGATGTTTATCTGCAGTGCAATTATACAGCTACAACCACCAGCGATCCCGACCTGTACTGGTACCGTCACTATCCGAACAAAGCTCCAGAATATATCCTTTGGACAGACAAAAGGAACAACCCGCGACATGCAGACTTTGCAAAAGATCGTTTTATAACGCATGTGGATGAAGCGGAGAGAACCGT